AAACAAAACCCATTGACCCAAAGAAAAAAAGAAAAAAAAAAGAAAAAAATAAAAATGAGGGTTGCCGTTTTTATTCCCCTCTTTTTGAAAAGACCCTTGCTTTATAACGGCGTTATTCATCCATGTTTCATTATAAATTAAACCCTCCACTTTATTTTTTCAAACACAGCCCCCACTTTCTCTCTCTCTCTCTAAACCATCCGGGTTTTAAAAAACAGTTGCTTGAATCTGAAGTTTGGAACAAGAAGAAGAAGAAGAAGAAGAACAAGTGTTCTTTCTTGGAGATCCAAATGGGGATGAATGATCAGAGAGTTGAAGCTGTTCTTCAGCTTCTTCGTAAACAAGCTCCACTCTCACTCAAACAGGTTCGTAAAATAAAGCAACAAATAACACAACATTGTTCGTGTTTTTTAAGGTTAATTTTTGTCTGTTTTTTTCCTTCTCTAGGACAAGTTCTGTAATCCTGCTTGTGTCCAGCGGTTTCTCAAGGCCAAAGGAGACAACGTGAAGAAAGCTGCGAAGAGCTTGAGGGCTTGCCTTTCTTGGAGGGATAGCATCGGCATCTGTATTTTCTCTTTCTTTTTTTTTAAATATAAATTGTTTAAAGTTGTGCCATGTTCTTCATGGTAATCGTTGAACTTACCCTACCCGATTCCAAAAACCAAAAAACGAGAATTTAATTAGTCAACGTGAGACTCTAACGTGATCTTTTTCAGATCATCTAATTGCCGATGAATTCTCCGCTGAGCTTGCCGATGGTGTTGCTTACGTGGCTGGTCACGACGAAGAATCTCGCCCCGTCTTGGTATGTATCGAAAATCGCTTCTACACAATATTTAATTAAAATTTGAAACTTATTATTAGAAATTACAGATTTCGACCGTAGTATGATATTGTTCATTTTAAACTTAAACTAGCCGTCTTGTATCAATGAAGATAATATTCCTTACTTATAAACTCGTGATCTTCCTTTTTTTAATTATGGACAGATTTTTCGAATAAAGCAGGATTATCAGAAATTCCATTCCCAGAAGCGGTGAGAAAAAAATCCCAATACCAAGAACACCAAAAACAAGAAAATTTTATTAATAATTTTATTTTGTCGTATTAATGTAATTAGGTTCACTCGTCTGGTAGTATTCACGCTAGAGGTCGCAATCGGGACCATGACAAAGAACATGGATCAAATGATCATTCTTTTCGACGCAAGTAAGTAAAATCTCGTTTAAATTAAAAGTAAAGTAAATTGGTGTGAGGTTGTCAGAGAAGGTGTCCGGTGTGACATGGCGGTGTCGTTGTCAATAGCCACCGGTGTCACGGCGGAGAATATCGGGAATTGAAATGTCCGGACGGTTGTCCATTTAGTTTAGTTGGAGGTTAAATTGGGATTATAATGTGTGGAAGCGTGGGGAAACTTGCAGGCTTTTACAGGTCGGCTTCGGCTTTTATCAACTTACTTCTGCCCATGTTGAAGATCGTGGCTGATTTTTATCCTCGCCGCCTTCATTCCGCTTTTGTTATCGACCCACCTTCGCTCTTTACATATCTTTGGAAGGTATTATTTTTATTTTTAAAAATTTTGAATTATATATATATATATATATATATATATATATATAGATATATTGACTAAAGTGTATGTGTTTACGTTTGTGAACACTTTATTTAAAATGTTTTGTTTTTGCTTTTTGTTTCTACTTTATTTATTTATATATTTTTTTAAATGTAGTTTCTTTTTCTTCATACTGTGGACCAGTATTGCCTCATTAGTCAATTTTAATTTTATCATAAAATATTCCATTTTAAAATTTCTATTTTCATCGTATAAATTTATTTATTTTTGTCCATTTAAGATAGTCCCGACTTTTGTAGGACTGTGATTCGACTTCTTAATGAGAATTGAGGTTTTTGGGCAGAGTCTCGTCCCGTTCAACATTTATTATTTTATTTATTTATTGATTATTATTTATTTAATGGTATGGGTTAAAGAAAAAGTGTTTTAAATTGGATTTAAATTTTAGTAAAATTGGAGAAATATTCTAAAGGAAAGTATTTTGAGTTGATGGGTTATTGGATCTGGTGTTTTTAACTTTATG